AAATGATTTCAAGCTAGAATTCCTGATTCTCTGTCAAAAATTCAATCCAGTTTGAGGGGAAAATAATACATTTTCAGAAACTCAGGATCCCCCCAAAATGTATCCATGCTCTGCTTTCTAAGCAAGCTACTGAAAAGTGAATTCTACCAAAACGAGGGAGGAAATCAAGAAAGAGACAAGCGTGGGATCCACGGAAGAGGGACTCTTACACAGGCTGGTTAAGAGAGTGACTGAGCAGGCGGCAGAAATGCAGCAGGAAGAGAGAGGGCTTCCGTAGAGGCGTCTTCAGGTCAGTGAAAAAGGCATAGACTTTTTCCCTGAAAACTTCCTTCCTGGTGTGTTTGACCGTGTGGTAAATAGATTCCAGGGGATTTTGCAGTTCCTTTGGAGAGTCTGGGGGTAATTAATGATAAAGACATAGAAAATTAAGTTTAAAAGGAGGACATTATTAATTTCCGAAAAATCAAAAGATTACACAATTTTGTGCAGCTGTAACTATACTTCTTGACTCATTGAATAATAATTCCAAGGACATAATAGCTTAAACATTAAATGTAAAATTTAACCCAAAACTGTGCCATAACACTATTGGGAAAATGAAGAGAGTAAGGTGATATAACAGTGCTAAACCCGTCTCTACCATAATAGCTCAACAGATAATGTCTCAAATCAAGAATGAGCAGTATGGGCTTTTTCTTTTCTTTTCTTTTCTTTTTCGTTTTTGCCAGAAATATGGAGATACGTTAGAGAAGGAAGTGAATAGCTGAAAGAGTTCAAAGAAATTGCCTCTAGGAGGGACGACTTGGGACAAAGGAGTATTTCTGTTTTTGGTATAAGCATTGTGATACTATTTTACTCTTTAAAGTATGTACATGTTTTAATGTGATTTTAAAAATTAATGTATACGTAGGAGAAAATGTAAGAGAATTTCTTTGTGCCTGGGCAATGATGATAAGATCACAAACATAAGGTGAAAATATTGATGGACTTTACTACATCAAAATTAAAGATGCTTGCACAGTGGCAGCGTTGTTAATAGGTGGTTTATAGGTGACGACAGCCCAGCAGAACATATTTGCAATGTTTAACACCAGTAAGGGATTAATTTCTAGAATATGTGAGTTCCATGCATATGAAACTCCATATGAAAAAGGTTAGAAATCCAGTTGAAAAATTGACAAATGATATGAGTAATTCCCAGAAAAGGAAATCCAGTGGTCAACAAACATATGAAAAAAGTCCAACCTCAATAATTAAAGACATAAAAAATAATAATATATTAATTCTTAAATTATTATCAGTTTATACTCACTAGGTTGCCAAAAATTAAGTAAGGTAACATCAAGGACATGAAGAAACAGACCGCTTCACACCCAGCAAGTGGAAGTGTAAACAGGTGCAGCCATTCTGGAGAGCAGCCTGGCAGTATGGAATGGACACATGCCACAGGACCAGGCAATCTCAGTCCTTCAGAAACACTTTTATCCAGATCCATCAGGCCGAAGATGCTTATTCATGCATATGGTAGCAGGGAGTTGGAAATAGGGAGAGGATAGGTAAAATATGGCTGATGTGTAACAGAATCACATTTGTGTAAATTAGAAACACACTCAAACTATCTTATTTATAAGGATATATACAGACATATCCAAAGACGCAATATAAATCATGTTAGATTGGGTGCCGGATTTCATGGGGAAGGATTGGGATTATCATTGGATCATCAAGGATGAACGGAAAAAATAATGCAAAACTAGAGTGGGGCTTCCACCAAGCTCTGGTGATATTTCATGGACTGAATATTAACTCAATTTTGTGCATCTAGTGTTCCTCCCCCAAAAATAAAGTAAAATTTATTTCATGTTTTTTAAAAAATGGAGTGATTGTACAGTTATCTCAAAAAGTGTTTAAAAGGAAAGAAAATATATTATTTTTTAAAAAAAAAGAAGGTTTGTATGGTGTAAAGACCCCTTTACTTTTTATTTATTAGTGGTAAAATTCTAATTATCTACAACTAATTTTTAAGCTTTCATCAGGGGTCATAATTGATTCCACTTTGTTCTTGAATCTTCTATTAAAAACATTTTGCCTTCTCCATTAAGTAGCCTCAAGTCCACAATGCAGACAAAATTGGAGTAGAAAAGAACTCTTCTTAAATTTCAAGGTTCTAGTTAATTCTCAGTTTACTCCAAGTTATCACATAATCTAAAACTCAAATTTGGGTTCATGCTTTAGGTTTAATGCCTCCTTTACTAGACTTTTTCTTTTTTCCTTCCATTTTTTCTCCTCCTCCAAACTCCTCTTTGGGGGAAAGTATTAGAAATCACATATTGACCAGGAGGCAGGAAAGCAGATCTTAGAAAGACCAGAAACCAAGTAATCTAGAACCTAGGAGTGAATTAGATTATCTTTGATGCCATCAGAATCATGATCTTTAATTATGTTACATGTTATACTATCCTTAGTTGAGATTAGTGAAACATGGACCTCTTAATCTTTACTAGTAAATCACGCCCCTCTCCCACAGTTTAACCAGCACCTACCAGTTGGATGGTTGGTCACTTAAAATTAGTGCTCTGCTAAAACATTGTCTTTTCTTTCCTAATATTGTATATTCAGTTAAAATTATGACATCCTGAGTAGGTGGTCTCTGAAAAAAAAAAAGTGTGTACTAAATATGTTTTATAAGCAATTTCTTGGGTATTGTGAAGACTTACTATTAAATTTGTCGTGGCCACAGTTATTTTATTGCCATTATTTCAGACATGTCTTGTTATCCTTTAGAAGAAGAAAAAAAAGAATGAAGTTAGTTACCTCGAGCAGTTGATTAATTCTTCTTTCATTGTAGTAAAAGCCTCTAGAACCAATCAGTAAACTAACTGCATCTTTTGCATTAATGTATTTTGAGCAATTGAAAAAAATCAGCACTAGAAAATTTAGTCTTGATAGTTCCTCAAAGAGCAAAAAATTAAGAGTGAAAATTAGTCTGCAGGAGAAATACTGAGCACACTTTTATAGGATGTTAACAAATTAGGTACTTGTATTTTTATCAGGTGTGGGACCCAGTCTTGACCTAACTGTGTCTGGGTAGTTCTTGGTTCTTTTTAGGAGCATATTCTACATGTGTTAAATTATCAAACTTTGAGAAATGGCAGAGTCACACAGATCTGGGCTAAAAGTTTAACTCTACCATTAACTATCTATTCGTGAGTAATGTTTCATCTCTCTGAGTTTCATTTCCTTCATCTGTAGAAGGAAATAACATCTGTCTTTCCAGGGGCATTGTCTCCATTAAATGACATGATGTATGTGAAGTACTGGCACAAGGTCCACACCTTGATTGGTGCTGGGTCTGCACGAGGAGCAGTTATAGAGCTGTTGTTAAGGTAGTCTGTGTTCTACTTAGAATAGGCTCGAATCCCAGTGCTGCTTTGGAACTGACCGCAGTCCTGAGGAAGTCCTACCCTAGAATGGTCTGAGGTTGCACCGGAGCTCCTGACTGCTCTCAATTTGAGAGTCTCACCGCATTCCAGGGCCCCAGTGCTCTGATGGTCAGCTCATTCCATATTAAAACATGATCTACTTTTCTCCTCTTGAGTTTTTAAAACTTGTTTTTGTGGTGTGTAAATAACGTATCCCGGTTGAAGAAGAGCAGAATTTATTTATTTATTTTTTTTTTAAAAGATTTTATTTTTTCCTTTTTCTCCCCAAAGCCCCCCAGTACATAGTTGTGTATTCTTCGTTGTGGGTTCTTCTAGTTGTGGCATGTGGGACGCTGCCTCAGCGTGGTCTGATGAGCAGTGCCATGTCCGCGCCCAGGATTCGAACTAACGAAACACTAGGCCGCCTGCAGCAGAGCGCGCGAACGTAACCACTCGGCCACGGGGCCAGCCCCCGAGCAGAATTTATTTTTAACTTAAATTTTAAAGCTTGGAATATTCTCTGTAGTTTTTTGTTAATGTGATAAGCTAGTCTCAACTGAAATAGATACTACTTCATAACTTCATAATCAGTATTCACATATTATTAAAATATAGAATGCAAGTCTCACTAGTTTAAATCTATCACACATATAAAAGAAGTAGTTAGACAAGTTTGTTTTCAGAAATAAGTAAATATGTTTTGAATGCTTCTTCTGTGCTGGCACTGTTCAGAAGGCTCTGTTCGTATTAATGCTCATTTAAGCACCACATGAAGTAGGTACTATTCTTGATCCTATTTTATAGAATGAAGAAGGTGAGACAGAGAAATTGAGTGATTTGCGCCTAAGTTCACACAGCAGAGTGGAAGAATGGTTGTTATAATTTATTTATTATTAAAACATGCTAAGAGTTAATTTGGAGAGGAAAGAAGTGTTCCAGAGAGCTAAAGTCTACACTGGCTTACCACCGTATGGATCAGACAAGACTGAGAGTACTTTACTGGGTTTTCAGTAAGAAATTTCAGGCTGCCATCTCTCTCTGGAATAACGTGTATATTTTTGTCTGCTCAGTTGTAACACTGCCTGCTTCCCTGAGAGGACACAGATTTGTTGAGTATATGATTTGTTCTTGGCCCCAGAAAACCAAATAGGTGATTTACAGTAGGGACAAGAATTGTAAGCTACTCTTTGTTATTCCTAAGGTATAAAAGCATATTAAATTTCTATATTTGTGTATAGCTGTAACAACCCGGAATTTCACTTAACTCTCTGCTAAACAATAATTTGAAGAATTTATAAAAATCCTGACGTCAAAAGTTGTGAGCCAAAAAAAGCTACAATGTTTTTACACTTTTCAAAGAGCATCCATGAGAAATTGATTATTTAATTTTTTATATTATTTTCAGCATAATCTGTTAAAAATATTTAAAGAGTATACGTTATAGGGAGATGTGGTGAGAAATGAATTCATTCTACCCCTATTTGGAAAACATTCTAGTAGCTGGTATGGGACACAGACTCACATTATGGAATCCTTTAAATAATCAATATGTATGTTTTTTATCAATTTGTGTTGCAGCGCAAGACTCATCAGTTTTTTGTCAAATCTTTTGCTACTCCTACCAAATGTCATCAGTGTACCTCTTTGATGGTGGGTTTGATAAGACAAGGCTGTTCCTGTGAAGGTAAGAACAAAATGGTAAGAAAATGTGGCTTTAGAGTCCTAACATTTACCACCTACCTTGTAATCACATAACTTTATTCTCTTTAAAAGGTATATAAATGTTTGTTTGTTTTAATCATTTGTTTTTCTTTGGATAACAGGAATAGAGACAATAAACCTAACACCTTGCTAAAGTCTGTTGAATATTAAAGAAACTAGGCAAATGGTCCCTAGAAACATTTTTCAGGGGAAATATATTTAAATGTTTCATTCATCTTTCTTTCGTTATTCAGGTGAATTGACAGAAGACGTGAAAATTATCCTTGAATCTACTCGTTTAATTTTTACCTTGTTTAATTTATTAGAGAAATTATTATCGAAAAGTAGGCAGTGCAGTATCTTTTCAGGTATATTAAGTGTCTGCCACTCTGCTCGAAAGATATTTTATTCCTAGTATTAATAGCAGAGGTTTTTCCCTGCCCACTCACTGATTCATCCATCTTTGTTCGTGAGATGCCTGGTCTGTGGCTCTTGGCACCGGGATGCAGTCATGGATGGGCGCAAAGACAAAGAGCCTGCCCTCATGGAGCTCACATTCTGAGACATGAGAGATCAGGGGTCATTTGAACAGAAAACAAAGTATATTTGTTTGTGCACCACTTTATTTTCAACTAAGACCTCTGAAATGAAAATGGTTTAAATTATAACGGAATATATTATTTGTAAATATTTTAGAAATATACTTTTTTTAATCAAATGAGACTTCCTTCTAGAACAATGCCTCGTATATAATTTAGGTATATCTTATGAAAAACATAAGAAAAGAGTTGCTAATTCAATTCTAATATCAGTTTCCACTTCTTAGCTCTGATGGTTGGGAGATTTTGTATTCCCTTTGTAGAATATACTCGTAGTTAGCCTGTATTTGAATACTTTGAAAAAGAGGGAAAGTAAAAGCATCCTAAGGCAATGCATTGTATGTTTGGTTAGTTCTTACAACCAAAGTGGAAGATCCAGATTGCATTATGTTAACTAGTCCGTTAAATGCATGGTTTTAGAGCCAAAGAAAATGGTACGAGGTGAAAAGTAGAGATTTGAGAGTTATGAGTGTATGAAATCATGAGTATGAGTGACATTATCCGGGAAGCACATGTAGAGTGAAGAGAGAACAGTTATGAGGGCAGAGCCTTGGGAAACGTAGTTAGGGAGAAGGAAAAGGTAAAGATAGCACAGTAATCTGAGGAGGAGTAGCCTGTATCATTGACCGGGAAGGTGTGACTGCAGCCAAAGGAGGAGAGAATTTGTACAGGTTCTAAGCCTTGTCTCATTTGGAACTTAGCCAGTACTTATCAATGTCATTTTAACTCTGTTTGTCAGAGAGCATCGTGTGCAGCTACTTGGCTTTAGACCCCTTGTCATTTTTTATGCATAGAACCATTTGCAATTCCACAGTAGGAATTTTTGAGATCTTCCCAGACTGTTTCCTTCTAGAGCCTCATGCCATGAAATTGTGCCCATCTTTTCTTCAAAACCTTTGAACCCTGCCCTATAATGCTGTGGGGTGCACATTAGACTATGCCCAGGCGTTCGTAAATGTTATAATGTGGTTACAGCCTCTAAAGATTCCTGTCATTTTAATTTCTTTCTGGTTGATTGAAATTAGATACAGTAGGGGATAATTATTTTGTTGCTTCCACTGCCCTTTGAAGGATAGATTTTTGCTTGTTAGTAAAACAAATTGTAACTTTTTAGGTACTCCACTTACAAGCGAATGAGATGTCTTATAGAAGTTTGGATAGTTTTTGACAGTCAGTACTAGTCCATCTGGCCTCTGTTGGTTTAATAATATCCATCATGTGTAATGATGTATAATCCGTTTTCCTGCATGTATGTATTCCCATGTTGATATCCCTCTGGTTCCTCTGTTATTCCTTCCCAAATATTCTCCAGGACCCACCCTTAGCGTAGGAATTGTCTAAATAGATATTCTTGGTCTGTAACCGCTCCCATCAAGCTTGTTTGTTTTAAATATTTTAACTTTTAATTCTCACCCAACCAAGTCTCAGTGAAACTTATGAGTTTGTTTTTATTTATCATTTTGTCTTAGAATCTCAGGTTCATCATGTGAATATCAAACAGAGGTATCATGACAATATTTTTGGTAGTTAGGTATGCAGGCTCTCAGCCAAACTGCCTGGGTTTGAAGTCCAGTAATGCCATTTGTAAGTTCTGTGACCTGGGGCAAGTCATATATGAGTGGGGGTAATTGTACCTCTCTTAGATTGTTATAGAAAAAGTAGAAGCACTCAATAAAATTAACTCTTATTATTATCTTAGTAGTAGTTTAAGTATATGTAGTAATATCAATAACTCCTAAACTTTACCCTTAATTTATACTTTTTTAATTATTGAGTAATTTCGTTTTCAAAAGGAGGGATTGGTAGTTTGCCAGATATTGCAAAGATGGCAGGTAGTTTAATGTCCTTTAGTGACTCTTGCAAGAGAAATTTCAGGACAGTTACCAGGTTGCAGTGAGATGAAGAGTTAGAGAGAACTCTAGAAACTAGTCTTTTAGGAATTCAAAGTTTAAATCAACTATTTTATTCACAAGGTTAGATTTTTTTTCTATTTGCTTCTCATTTTGATCACTAATGTTAACACACAGCAATGATATTACAGTAATAAAAAAACAGCTATTTCTCATTGAAATTTTTACTGGTAAGCAAATGAAGCCCCTCCCCAAATAACAAAACAGCTGCTTAAAATAAAATCAGAGAGCAGCCTTCAGCTAACGTAGCGCCGTGGGATGAGTGCTCAGTGAATTTTCTTTTTGTAAAAGTGGATTTTTATTGAACATTGTTTTTTCTTCCCTCCAAAAGTGTGTGGATTCTCATGTCATATAACCTGTGTAAACAAAGCTCCGACCACTTGCCCAGTTCCTCCTGAACAGACCAAAGGTCCCCTAGGTATAGATCCACAGAAAGGGACAGGAACAGCGTACGAAGGTCATGTCAGGGTAAGTATGATTACGCTGGGTGTAGACTAATCTCTAAGGTTTATTAATGAATTAAATAAAGTCCAGTCACCTTACAAACAGAAAATTTGGTGAATAAAGAAAATTTGTTGACAGAAAATTCAGTGAATAAAATTCATATAAGAATTTTATTTCATCCAGAGTAATGATTTGAAAACAAAAACCTAGCCTTTACTTGGAAATAAATGCCAAAATGTCTGAAAAGTTTTTGTCTTGTCCCTGTCTTGTAATGAGCAGATGGTGAAGTCTACATAAAGGGGTCTTTGGCACTTGGCCTTCTGGAGAGGTGACATGCTTACGAAGTATGAGATATTATCATCAAGGCATAATCTTACTTGTAATCTTGAATAATATTTAAAGTATAAGCTGCATTTCATCTTACTACCAAATTTGACTTTTATGCTACTTAGGAAGGAAGCCTTGAATGTTATTTTAACGATTACTAGTGCAAGTTAAAATGGTACTGTTTTTTAAATTTTCAGATTAAAATGTCACTCAGTGTTTGAAGAATGTGTTCTCACATTTTCTCATATGTTATTAATGATATATGTGATCCATCTGCTGCTTCACCAACCGAAGAGGCAGAGTTATAACACATACATTGTCTTTTGGTCTTTACCATGCACTTACATATGTAATTGAGGGGACTCTGACATTTTTGCTTGACTTGGTTTTGTTGGTTTGTTTGTCTATCTAAAACAACACTAAGATTCCTAAGCCAGCTGGAGTGAAGAAAGGATGGCAAAGAGCATTAGCTGTAGTTTGTGACTTCAAACTCTTTCTGTACGACATTGCTGAAGGAAAAGCATCGCAGCCCAGTGTTGTAGTCAGTCAAGTGATTGACATGAGGTAAGCTTTCAAAGGTGAAAATATTTGTGTCTTTGCAACATAAGAATAAAAGAGTATCTGCTTTTTCTTCTGATTATATTTCCATGTTGTTATTTAAATCTAATGTCATGTTAATTTTCTAATCTACTAATATTGCTATAGTAACATAATTAAAAATAGGAAGTAAGGCCTAGTTGTGACAGATTGGTTTGTGTTTTGTGTTGAGTGTGTTGGGCTAGAGGTCAGGGAAAAGAAACTGATATTTGAATCCAAAAGACCAGTGTAAAGTTGTTGGAGAAGTGGAGACCTAATGTATTTGTATGATCACCTAAAGGCTTAGAGTATAATTCCAATGTAAGGACAGGAAATAAAAATCTCAAAATCAGACAAACTCTTGGAATATATAATGGACTGGAAAACATTTAAGTAAGTACATCTCTAGAATGTTTCTGGCCTCGTTTTCAGACTCTTTCCCTGCCCTGGAGTGCTCTCCATTACCTCTTCTCGTGACTCCAGTCACTCTGCTTGGGTGATCTTATTTACTCCAGTTTCTCGTAACTCCAGTCACTCTCCTTGAGTGATCTTATTTACTCCTGTGGCTTCAGCCATTGCCTCTACACTTATGACTCCCAAACATGTGTCTCTAGTCCAGATCTCTCTCCAGCGCTCAAAACTAGGATTTCCAGCTATGGCTTACACTGGCGTTCCATATCAGCATCTCAGACACATTATCTTCCCCGCAAATATGGAATATGAAGGGTTAGGTGTAAGGAAAATCTGACCGAGCCTGCTAAGGGTCTAAATATAGAAAGATAGGGAGAAGAATCAAAGATAAGACTAAGATCTCAAGTCTTCAAGACCAAGAAAATGATGGTACCAATAACCAAATTAAGGAAACCACAGGAATAGATCATTGTGGAGGGAATCTGTTGTAGATGTTGAAGGAACAGTAAAATGTCACATGAGCTGTGTTGAAGGCACTTGAAATGTATTATGGGAGGCAAGAGGGCCCCGTGTGCTGGAGACTCTGGAGACCCTCCAGGATTCAAATCCGAGTTCTACATGTATACTTATTGGCCTTGTTACTTTGAGTAAACCAGCAATTATTTCTAGCTTTTATAGAATGTGCAACTCAATTTCTCTTGAAAACTTACTTTGGGCACCGTGAATTACAAGGAGGGGAAAAATCAAATTTTTTTAAAAATTCAATTTGAATGTTTTGTGTAATTAAGTTTTGAGGATTGCTTCATATGAGTTATTTGGATACACACCCAAAACTACACACACATACCCACATACACTGACTTTTAATGTTTCCCTTTTTCTTCAGGGATGAAGAATTTTCTGTGAGTTCAGTCTTGGCTTCTGATGTTATTCATGCAAGTCGAAAAGATATACCGTGTATATTTAGAGTAAGTATGTATGCTGTAATTTGATCACTGACTTATTTGTATTTGATAAAAAATCTTATATCCCTTTATGTATTCCATATCATCCAATACTTGAATGTATAGACAGTTGGTACTAAGTGAATATTTAATTAGTGAAAGATCTGTAGAAAGCCTGACTACATGGCTTGTAAAATAGGTTTCCCCTTGAATAATATTTTTGAGTCACAATTCAGTTTTTGAATAAATACTGCCCCATGGAAAATTGACTAAATGTGAGGTTTCTCACGTTTTAAAAAAACACAAGCTTTTAAAAAAAGCTCACTTAAAAAATTGATGTGTGTTTCAGTTCTATTGCTTTGTAATAACCACTCCAAAACTCAGTGGCATAAACAGACATGACTTGTTATTTTTCACCCTTGTGTGTGTCAGCTGTACACTTCTTAGGTGTTGACTGGGGTCACGCGTGTGGCTGCACTGAGCTCGTTTGGGGCTGGAATATCCAAAATGACCTACTCTCATGTCGGGGGCTGTGGTGCTGGCTGTCCGAGGGGTGATCTCGCTTCTCTCTGTGAACTCCCTCCATGTGGTTTCTAATCCTTCAGTAGTCTGGCTGAGCTCTCCGTGGCTGGCTTCCAGGAGAACCAGAGAAGCTGCCAGGCCTTTTAAGGACTAAACCCAAAACAGGCATTATAATCCTTCTGCATTCTGTTGATCAAAGCAAGTTTTGAGGTCAGTCTGGATTTGAGGGGAGGCACAGTGGACTCGACTTCTTGATGAGAAGAATGGAATTCCAGAGGAAGAGCTGTTGGTGGCCGCCTCTGGAGACTGTCGGCCACAGTGCAATCTTGAATTGGTGAATTAAGACAATAGAGGTTAAAAAAAAAAACTACTGCCCTGTTATGCCTAGATGCTTAGTATTGTATATGAGTCTTGTATCTAAGGAAGGTCAGACAAAGACTCCTTGGTCTCTCAGTTCCCGGACCACCAACTATCTGTTCTCTCCCCAGCCACCGGGGGAGCCTACAGAGGCCCACTTATCTCCAGCTGACTCACGTGGTGGGATTTTATCGTCACTGCTGCTTAAATTACTTTTAATAAGGGATCCATGTATATAAAATTTAAATCTGTTCTGATTGTAAATGCTGTGTGTATAATGATAAACCTTCATTTAAATACTAACTCAAGTGATCTGATCGTCTCTAAGATAATGTGAGTTATTGTTATGAAGTAGAGAATGTAGGTATTTCTGAGCATTTCTGACGTTTAAAACAAGTTGAAAATCAATATAGTCTAGTACTTATGACTATGGACATGGGATCACAGTCTAGTCGTGTGCCCTTGGAAAAATTTATTTCTCTGCCTCAGTTTTCCATTCATAAAATCGGGATGTAGTAACAATACCTACCTTATGAAGATGTTGAGAGGGGTAATGAGTTAATACCTGTAAAATGCCTTGATCAGTGCCGGGTGCTCAGTAATTACTCAGTAAATGTCAGTTGCTGCTGTAATATGGGCATGGTTAATGCATTTTTTAGGATAGTGTTCTGGCGCTTTATAGCAAAGAAAATAAAAATGATGCTAACATCTAGAATGGTATCTGCTACCTTCACTTTGTCATGAATTCTAATGCTAAAACTAGTTATTCTTCTGATTAGGAACAGCTGAACTCTGTTAAAGGAATTATTTAATGAATGCTCTGTTTATCGGATAGTGCTAAGCAAACTAGCAGAAGCATAAAACTGGCTTGAAGTGTGTCTGTTTTCTAATATCATGAATATTGATTAATTGTTCTAGGTCACAGCTTCCCAGCTCTCAGCATCTAATAACACATGTTCGATCCTGATGCTGGCAGATAGTGAGAATGAGAAGAGTAAGTGGGTGGGAGTGCTGAGTGAATTGCACAAGATTTTGAAGAAAAACAAATTCAGAGACCGCTCAGTCTATGTTCCCAAAGAGGCTTATGACAGCACTCTACCCCTCATTAAAACAACCCAGGCAGCTGCAATCATAGGTAAGAATTCATAACATTTATCACGTTGTCCTAATTGTTTACTAAGCTACCTTGTGAGCAGGGACTGCTTTCATCTAGGAATCCCCAGCGTCTAACAGTGTGTGTTCTATCACAGACACTCAGGAAATGTTTATTGAATGAATGAAACCATATACAGCTTTGTTTCCAGTAAACAACACTCTTCAAATGTGTTTTCTTCTGAAAAAGCAACAATGCTAAAGATTAACCTAGTAACAAATCTATTTTCTGCATGTGTGAATTAGAACAAGTTGTTTAATTTCTTAAAACATAAGTTTCCTGTGTAAAATGTAGATATTAATCACCTTTCGGAGGTTATTGGGAAGTTTAAATTGGATGGAATACATAACACAGAGTGCCCTGCATATAAAATGCCCTCAAAAAATAGCAGCTGCTGGGGGCCAGCCCAGTGGCATAGCCATTAGGTTCACGTGTTCTGCTTCAGCAGCTAGGGGTCCGCCAGTTTGGATCCCAGGCACAGACCTATGCACCACTTATCAAGCCATGCTGTGGTAGGCATCCAACATGTGAAACAGAGGAAGATGGGCAGAGTTAGCTCAGGGCTAATCTTCCTCACAAAAAAAAGAAAGAAAAAGAGACAGCTTCTATGTCTGGAAGTTTAAATTTTCACCATGGTAGATAGGCAACTCTTTTGTTACTTTCTAGTAAATAATGAAAAGTTTAGTGAGTAGTGTTCAAATGCCTTTCACAATTTTTCCCTCCCAAAACGAGAAATGGAACTGGACCCCCAGGGTACCAACAAACTTTGGTTTTTAATTTTTTTCTCTTTTTATTGAATAAACATTTACTTTTTTTCCCAAGTGTTGATATAGATTATTTTCTAATGATTGTTCTATTAAAAAAAGACATGAGATAATATTTATCACTGTAATCTGAAAGGAAATTTAGTAGCATAAATTGTTATTGCTGTTTTTAAATTATTTTATTTCAATTTTTTGCACCAAATTTCTTTATTATCTATTTTATTCTATTAGTTTTACATAGTTTTTACCTAATGCAAATGTTTTATATTTATGTCTTATATAGATCACGAGAGGATAGCTTTGGGAAATGAAGAAGGGTTATTTGTTGTGCATGTCACTAAAGATGGTAAGAGAGAACTTTATTGTGGAGTAACTTTGAACTATGTGTTGTTAGAAAATTCTAACTGCTAGGTTCTAGTTTCTGAAAAGAGCAGAATTTGCTCTTATTTATTCTATAATTGAAATTTTCCAGACCTAATTTGATGTGTTTATAAGTCAAAATATAATTTTCTAATTTTTATAATCCTCTTGAGTTCTAAAATTTCCAAGTGTGTTTTGTCTTTCTTGTGTCATTTTATTGAACAGTTCTGCTCTTTGAAGTCAGATTGCATTCCTAAAGATGGTATGTGAAAGAAAATACAACTTGGGGCTGGCTTCAGCGACCCGGGGTTTGCTGGTTCAGATCCCAGGTGCAGACCTATGCACTGCTTGTCAAGCCGTGCTGTGGCGGGCATCCCAAATATAAAGTAGAGGAAGATGGGCATGGATGTTAGCTCAGGGCTAGTCTTCCTCAGCAAAAAAAGAGGAAGATTGGCGGCAGATATTAGCTCAGGGTTAATCTTCCTCAAAAGAGAAAGAAAGAAAATACAACTTGATTTTTCCATTGTTCTAAGAGTATTAAAAATGTATCTGTTGTTGTTTTTTCCCCCACAGTTTACTGCAGTTTTTTTCCAGGGAGGAATTAAATACAGTCATGTGCCACATAACGACATTTCAGTCAACAATGGACCCCATATATGATGGTGGTCCCATAAGATTAGTACCATGTAGCCTAGGTGTACACCATCTAGGTTTCTGTAGTACTGCAGGGGAGGAAGAGATTTTCTTCTACCCTTCTGGGTTCTTCTGGCTAGTCTAAGAATTAAATTTACATGAGACTGATTATCAAGAGAAAAACAAAAGTTTAATAATGTGTGTACATGGGAGAAACCCAGGAGAACCAAGTAACTCACCAAAATCACCAAAGCGCTCACCTTAAACACTGTGCGCAACCAAAACGAAAGAGGATGTTGGGGTGGGGAGAGTCAGGGACTGCAAGGGGCAGGAAGTCAATTCACAGGTGCGTGAAAACAAGCAAGCGTATGGAAATCAAATGTTTATTTGGCCAAATAGAAACAGAAGAACACAGAGGCGACTCCAACCAACAGGCTTTTCTAGGTTCCTCCCCGTCTGCCACCTAGTTCACATTATTCTAGGTGATAGCTTACTTCCTGAGATGGAATTTTTATCTGAATTCTTTTAGGCAGTTAAGGGAGAGGTAACAAGAAAAACTTTGAGTCCTTCTCAGAAAGACTGTTTCTGAAAAATAATCAGCCTGAAATAATCCTCGTGTTAAAGAGACACATTTTGGGGTGGCAAATTTTGTTCCCCTTCAGCACACTCTATTATGTTTGTACAACGACAGAAATCACCTGATGACACGTTTCTCAGAATGTATCTCTTGTCATTAAGTATTGCATGACTGTACAGGGTGAAACAAAAAGGAACCAATTTAATTTAGCATTCTTGAATAGTGTTCTAAGTTCTATCTTTCTTTCAGGTTAGATCATGGGAAAACTGCATTTAAACTATATTAGTTTGTTGCCCTTTAGTGAAATATGAATAACTTTTTTAAAATGGGAACTCCATGGTAAAGTTCCTTAGAATTTAGTGCCAGTAAAAACGGTTTTTCTTGAAGATCTGGCATGCTTTGTCACACAGGAACTCTTTGCCTTGGCTGCCAGAAATCTCAGCGCTGAATTTAATACCTTACTATAGGTGGGCTAAATTATCTTATAATAGGTATAACTATCTTCCTTTTTCTTCTTCTAATTTTTCTGATCTCTAATTCTTCTCTATGTGTATCTGTGTCTTTATTTTAAGTTGATTTATATCCTTTTGAGTATAATTGGAATATATGATTAATACGTAAACAAAACATTATTTTGCATTTGACTTATTATTTTTTTTGCATAGAAATTATTAGAGTTGGTGACAATAAGAAGATTCATCAGATTGAACTCATTCCAAATGATCAGCTTGTTGCTGTGATCTCAGGACGAAATCGTCATGTCCGACTTTTTCCTATGTCAGCTTTGGACGGGCGAGAGACTGAGTTTTATAAGCTGGCAGAAACTAAAGGGTGTCAAACCATAACTTCTGGAAGAGTGCGCCACGGAGCTCTTACATGCCTGTGTGTGGCTATGAAAAGGCAGGTCCTCTGTTATGAACTATTTCAGAGCAAGACCCGTCACAGAAAATTTAAGGAAATTCAAGTCCCATATAATGTCCAGTGGATGGCCATTTTCAGTGAACAACTCTGTGTGGGATTCCAGTCAGGATTTCTGAGATACCCCTTGAATGGAGAAGGAAGTCCGTACAGTATGCTCCATTCAAACGACCACACACTGTCATTTATTGCACATCAACCAATGGATGCCATCTGCGCGGTTGAGATCTCCAGTAAAGAGTACCTGCTGTGTTTTAACAGCATTGGGATATATACCGACTGCCAGGGCCGAAGATCTAGACAGCAGGAGTTGATGTGGCCAGCAAATCCTTCCTCTTGTTGTAAGATTCTCTTACTTTTGGTTCTTATCTTTCTGTCTCTTTCTTTTTCCTTCTACTTCATCTCCTATATGTATTCATTGTTAATAACAAGTTATTATTTTAGGTCATCCTTAAAGTTTTTCCTAAGTGTTAGTTATGTAAAGTAACCATATGTACTTAGACGTAAGCCTGCAAGGTCAACATTAACATGCACATAATTAAAGCTAATCTTTCTATGGAATATCTTACTTAGATGGATTTTTTAACGCATGTTCTTGTATTTTGAAATAATTCTAAATAGTTACCTTCATGGTCCCCAGAAATATAGTGCTTGTGAACCTTAATAGCTCATAAGACTTATTCTGGAGAAGTAGTTACTAAGTAAATTATTTAATTGGTGATGTAAAGGTATAATGTCACATCTATAGGAAGTGTTATTCAGTTTTTACCTAGACAGGTAGATACTTAAAATTGCCTATTGTACTCTTTCAAGAAAGATTAAAACAATAAATTGTTGAATACTTGTCATGTGCATTTCACTGTACGAGATAGAACAATGAGCAGAATAGACAGTCTCACCCTCACAGAACATGGAGTGCAGGAGGATAGGTCCATGAGCAAACCAGAAGTTGCAGGAGAATCTGTGCTATGACAGCGAAGTTCAGAGTTCCATAGGCACGTAGGAGTATCTAACCCAAAGTGTTTTGTTTTTAGTGAAAGACACTTGAGTGTGTTTAAATGCTGAAGGGAAGTAGCCACTAGGGGGCTAGGGCAGGTTGTCTGTCTGGTAAACGCAGGAAATAGAGGAAGTTCCTCAAGAAGGCTGGCGAGGGTGGAATTCAGAACCTGGGGCAGGATTTGGGGCAGGAGGAGTGCAGCCTCTTCCACTGTGACAAGATAGGAGGAGTGACGGGTATGGGGACAGTGGAGGGTAAGATTTAGTAGAAGAAAGCTTAGGAGAACCAGACGTGCTTATTACAGAAAATTTTAAAAATACACAAAAAAAGAACAAAAGAAAAATACTTCTACCTACCCAGACTTGATTACTCTTAATGTTTTGTTTCTTCTGAAAAATATACTCCTGTCTATGGCATCATATTTAATGAATGCTGTTTTGTAACCTAATCAGATATTAATTCCAAGTATTACTTCTAATGTGAAGTAAGAATTAGAATATCTGGGTTTTATGAATAGCTCTGCCAAAAATTTAATTCATAATTTTAGTTTAAGTAAATCATTTAATCTCTTTGCTTGTGTCACCATTTATCAATGTTTATCCTCTCCGTAAGTGTATACGGAGCATCTCCCCTGCTCATGTCACTGTGCCAGGTCCTTTATCGTACCTTCATAACTGTGACTAGAACTCCTACCTAAAGATTTCGCTACTTTGTAAGTTTGTTTTACTGTCAATAGCTTGGCTTTAGGAATCAAGTACTTTAAAATGTAGTGAAATTCTTTATAGAACTAGTATTGGGTAAGGGAATATCATACCCTTGGTGTTAACAGAATCCTTTTGTATTATAATGGCTATACAATCTCCCCATCTGTGATTTATGTTCTGTTTATTTCAGAACTATTTTGACGACTGCCATATGAGAAGAACAGGATTTGGGTGGGATTCTACTCTACAGTTGTTTAGCAAAGATCTTTCAAAATGTTTTGGGTTTAATAGTTACAGTAACCAGCCAACTGTCCCCTCCCCCTTCTCCCAGGTTACAATGCACCCTATCTCTCAGTGTATAGTGAGAACGCGGTCGATATCTTTGATGTGAACTCCATGGAATGGATTCAGACTCTCCCCCTCAAAAAGGTAAGATAACGTTAAAATGTGGACTAGGTGAACTAATGAGCGAAACACTGATGTGACTAGTTGTTTTTCATGAATTCAGAATTTTTGGGTATATGTAATTGATAATTTGGGACTTAGCTAAGAGTAAAAACATAGTAAAGAAAAAATCAAGCTGTTTAATTTTATAGATAGCTCAACATCATATTGTTTTTATTACAATTAGTTTCACTATATAAAGTATGATTATTATCATAATGAACAAATAGAATATATCCTAGAACCTGGAATGTCAGTATTATCTTCCTCTTTAGTTTAAGGAGCTCTGAGGGAGTATGTTTTTCTTAATTATAGCTGTTTTTCACATAATGGTATGCAATTTTAAATCCTCTGAGACAGATTTCACAGACTGAAAAAGTGATTAAATTTGGAACCAAAACTGTGTTTAAGTATCTCATGATTAAAAAATAAAGATGTCACGTATTCCTAATAAAATAATATTTTCCTTTAATATTTCCCTTTGATAACATAAAGAGAATTTTTACAAGTATAGAACAGCTATTTTGCAAATCTGAAGAGTATTAGTTTCATGTAGATATGTAGCATGTATCATTAGTTGAGGGACAGGGTTTAGAGGAATAGGTGAAATAAAGTAGCCAAGATGATATTTCAAGATCTGCCCCAATTTTAAACCACATCAACAATGAAAAAAGCTCTTGTAAATACATCATATGAAACAACTTAATATCGTACTCTAGTTTGTACGTTTTGGCTGGTTTCAATTAGTTTTCCATTTTATTTTTATCATGTGAATTTTGTCATATGCACGAAAGAATATATGACCTTTATGAAACAATAATAAACTGATCACTTATGAACCCACCTCCTAACTTAAGAGGCAGACCATTATCAATATCACTGCGTCCTCCTGTGTACTTTTCCCTCATCCCATACCCCTGCCTCTCCCCAGAGAAATTCACTATCCTGAATGGTGTGTTTATCATTCTCTTGCTTTTCTTAAAATACAAAAAATTTTGCATATTTTCATAGGCCTAAACAATATATTCAGTTTTTCTTGCATTTGAGATTATAATGTTATGTTGTATGTCATCTCCTGCCTTGCTTTCTTCATGCATTTACTGTGTTTCTAAAATTCATCCATGTTATTACACATACTATTTAAAAGTTTATTGCTTGTCACTACTATAAAATATTCTGTTGGGTAAATAGATCATAATTTATTTATCAGTTCTCTGATTAGCAGACATTTGAGTTATTGACCCAGCTTTTTGCTATTGTGAACATTGTTGCATTTGTCTTCTGGTTCGTGTGTGCAGTGGTTTCCTTAAGTCATATTCTTAGGAACGGAATTGATGGGACATGGGGAATGCAAGTGTTCCACTTTACAGGATACGTCAAATTATTTTCCAAAGTAATTGTACCAGTTGACACTCCCACTCGGTATATGAGTTCTTACTGAGCCACATTGTCTCTGATATTTGCCATTGCCAGAATTCATAGTTTTATAACCATAATAAGTGATTTTTGTTTGATTGGTCATCTTTTTCTTATTGATTTATTGAAATTCTTTATATATTGTAGATACTGGCTTAGTAATGGGTGTTGTAAATCTTTTCCATTTGTGAGTTTCTATTCATTTTTATGTTGTATTTTGCTGAACATTTATTGTTATAAGAAAACAATAAATTATATTGTCTTGCTAAAAATTTATTGTTACAAATTTTAAAGTAGTTAAAAATATCTTTCTCATCCTTTAGGTTTATCTTTTTTTCTCCCATTTGAGACACTCTTTCCTGCCTCAAGATTAGAAAGATATGACCCTTATTTTCTTTCAAAAGTTTGAAAGTTTTGCCTGTTACATTTATATATCTTTAATCCGTTTGAAATTGATTTCCTGTGTATGGTGTGAGGCGAGGATTCCATTTCATTTGCTCCGTGTAGATAACCAGCGGTTCCATTACCATCTGTTGACAGTCCTTCCTTTCCCCAATGATGCACAATCTCCTTTCTGTCTTTCATGTACATTTAGTTCAAGTAAGATTCATAAAGTAGCTGTGTTGATATCTTAGTATAATCATTTGGTCACTAATGGCTTTAAAAAGTCAAATTTAAGTTTTAAATGTATTTCTACTTTTTTTTATTTTTGCCCAGAATATTCTTTCTTTAAAATGTTATTATTAAACTTTGTTCAAATTAGATAATTCTGTACCTTTCCAGTCAGAACTAAGGTTCATTTTTTGTTGATTTTCTGTGAAGGCTATATTTTGAAGGGAAAGGATAAATTAAAGATCTTAATAGTATGTGCTTTATAAATAGGCCAAAAGTTTTAGACTTAATTTTTGAAGGTTTTCTTGAAATACTAATTTCGTTTTTTATTATTTTAGGTCCGACCCTTAAACAGTGAAGGATCATTAAATCTTTTAGGGTTGGAGACAATTAGATTAATATATTTCAAAAATAAGATGGCAGGTAAGAAAATACACATTAATCAGATAGCTTCAATGGAAATGTCCTCTCTAAGCTGACTGCCTAAAGATAATAAGTGGCAGAGCCCAGATTTTCCCTCAACTGTATCTTGCTCCAAAGTCTGTTATCTTGGCCACTATCATACTCTCTCAGTATAATAAAACTACTGGACAAAAAGTCATCCTGTTAAGCTCGCGTAGCCGTACAAGCAAAATATTTCTTTCTGACCTGCCTTGTTATTTTTCTGTGGAGTAACGAGGTAAGTAAAGTATAGCTGAATATATCTTCTGTGTTTTTAATACTGTAGAACCTAACCAAAATTTGTACCACTAAAATTATGAAAACCCATCCAGAGTCCCGGTGGGGACTTTGGAATACATCTACTGCCAACGCACAGGGCTTAGAGCTTCTGAAGTGCTAACGACAACGTGAGCGGCAGAAACAGGGAAGAGAGGAGAGTCCCCGGAGTGCCCAGAATCAGGAGAGGGGAGTGGGTGCCCTGGGGTTACGAGGAGCAGGGCAGTGTCCAGAGTTGTGGGGTGAGTCCCGGCCAGGGAGCCTGTCCATGTGTAATTAAAATGAAATGTTTGCCAGTCAGAGTGACCTGAACAGTTAAAATCTCACTTTAACAAATATTATTATAATGGTCTCTTCCATATAATAAAGCTAATTTCATGTCTTAGCAACAAATTTCTGTATAGCAAAGGTATTCGTAAGTTTATGATCTTTTGTGGTGGATCTGTTTAATGAAGATGTTCTTATGGTACATTATGTATTTAAAATAATAATTTAAATTGATTTAAACGTAAGTGAAAACATTGGCGTCAAGAAAACACATTAAAATGTTTATACCAGTTCTCTCTCAGTAGTGTGATTATTATCTTCTTTATGCTTTTTCCCCCGTATTCTCCAATAAATTTATATATTCTACTATCCAAAAGAAATCTATCAAAGGTTTGTCATTTTTGTTTTGTTTTTAAGTACTAAAGTACACGCACATGTTGCTGGGCCTCAGGTTGGATGCTCTGGTACATCCGCTTGGCACTGGAGGTTTCTTGGTATCCAGTCTGGTGACTGTAGGAGTAGACCTGTCCTAAGAGGATATTCCAGTATGACTCGAGAAAGGATACTCAGGTTTTAGAAGGGATTCCCACTCACAGATGGATTCACCATGAAGCTAATGAAACTTAAGCTTTAGGCCCCTCACTTCCAAGACCCTGTATTTAATTTTGGATCTATTTCTTAGAGGAATTCCGAATATTTGTATAACATTGGATTCACTCTGTTCTCACTGTGTGTGATCATGATGATCATAAAATGTGTGCATTACCCAGTTTGTGTCTATAGGGTGACACCTCTTCCAACTTGTCTTTTCCTGGGCTTCCATCTTTCTGCTCTAGGCTGAGAGTCAAGGTAGAGCTTAGAGAAGGAAGACCTGCCAAAATTTCAATGTAGTTGTCTTGTCCTTTGAAAAGGGGAGGAAATCCCATTTCCCAGAGGTCCTTTTTCTGTCTTGCTTTCTCCTCCATCTCTCAGGAGCTCAAAGTGCTCCTGCAGCCCTCTGGCTATCCAAAACCTCCCATGGCCATCGCAACACACCAACACATGCTTCATCCTCACAATTCTCAGATTCCGGAATTGTGTTTCATATTCTCATCCACTTTGAAAATTCTGTCCTTTTCACATTGGTCATTAGGAAAGCAGTCTGATTAAGCTACGACACTATGGGGAGAATGCTGGGGTTTTTTTACTAATTATCAACTTTGGCCTGCCTTCCAGCCCCACTTGGCTTCTTCCCACCTTCTTTTTCTCACTTTAGCTTTTTGGGTGTTAAAAACTTGTAAAGGTTGCCTTTTCTCTTTTTCCTTAACTAATGGCATCTATCGTGGTGTATAGCTACGATTGTCTCTTATTTTTAGAGTATGTTCACATATCCCAGCATGTTTTGGGAGCCCATGGCTGAAAGTTTGTTCACCTATAGGTATTAAAATTGAAATAGAATAAGATGTGTGCTGGACTGCTAAATGTATACAGTTAAGTATCCTTTCTCCTCAAGATCAGAAGAGTAGAAGTAACGACAGATTCTGACCTTTAGTAAAGGAAGCTAGTGGGAGCACAATTCCTAGTAAGGACCACATCTTGCATGTTGGATCTTGCAAAGGAAATGTTTTAATATGTAGAAATAATTTTATCATTTATGCTTGATTACGTACTTGTACAATTAACTGATATTTGTACTGTCTTGGAGACTAATGGATAAAAAGCATTTTAGCACTTTAAAGAACATCATTATTCTTTGTATTTTTTTTACAGAAGGGGATGAGCTAGTAGTTCCTGAAACATCCGATAATAGTCGGAAACAAATGGTGAGAAACATTAACAACAAGCGGCGTTACTCCTTCCGAGTCCCAGAAGAGGAGAGGATGCAGCAGAGGAGGTGGAGTTAATTTATGCCCGTCACCCACACACGCTTGTAGCATTGGAAGGACTGTTTGGTCGTAATACTGCATTTGATGTGGAAGGAAAATCTGGTCTCTGAAAATCTGTCGGTCATCTATGGTGTTAAAAACTGCAATAATGAGAATACTTCTCAGTGTAATTTGATTCGTTTCTCAATGTGTATGGAATAGTTACAATTTTTAGAATGTGGACCTTTCTGTAATATAAGCATAGAGCATAATAGAGCATATCTGTGCATATAGTAAACCTCTGTATGTCTAAGAACTTCACATTACCTGTTCTCTTCAGAGCAAACAGAAATAGGCTTGTAGTATTTCCAGTTACGTATAAAAACATTTCTGAAGTATTATCAAGTATTTTAAAAGAAATACATAAAACGGTCAGAATTACCTGTAAAATAGGGTAGACTTCTTTGATATCCAAGCACTAAAAGAACCCTCTCCATTTTCCCACCACAATCATAAGATCTTTTATTTAAAATCTAAAACAAAATCTTTTTTTTGCCTTTTTTTTAATTGAGTTAATGATAGGTTACAATCGTGTGAAATTTCAGTTGTACATTAATGTTTGTCATTCATGTTGTAGGTGCACCACTTCACCCTTTGTGCCCACCCCCCACCCCACCTTTCCCCTGGTAGCCACTAAACTGTTCTTAGTCCACATTTTTAAATTCCTCATATGAGTGGAGTCATACACAGATTATCCTTCTCTAACTGGCTTATTTCACTTAACATAATTCCCTCAAGGTCCATCCATGTTATTGCAAATGGAATGATTTTGTTCTGTTTTGCAGCTGAGTAGTATTCCATTGTATATATGTACCACATCTTCTTTATCCAATCATCTGTTGATGGGCACTTAGGTTGCTTCCATGTCTTGGCTATTGTAAACAATGCTGCAATGAACATTGGGGTGCATAGGACTTTTGGGATTGCTGACTTCAAGCTCTCTGGATAAATACCCAGTAGTGGGATGGCTGGATCGTATGGTAGTTCTATTTTTAATTTTTTGAGGAATCGCCATACTGTTTTCCATAGTGGCTGCACCAGTTTGCATTCCCACCAGCAGTGTATGAGGGTTCCTTTTTCTCCACTACCTCTCCAACATTTGTTACTATTAGTTTTAGATATTTTTGTCATTCTAACGGGTGTAAGGTGATATCTTAGTGTAGTTTTGATTTGCATTTCCCTGATGATCAGCGATGATGAGCATCTTTTCATGTGCCTATTGGCCGTTCGTATATCTTCTTTGGAGAAATGTCTGTTAAAACAAAATCTTTTAAGTAAATTTTTAATTGAGTTTATTCTATTATTTTAATTCTGTCCTTATTAACATGATTTCATAGTTTTATTTTTATGAAAAAAATGCTTAATTTTTTTCTAAAGTTATCTAGATTGATCATGGGGAAAAATGTCTAAACAGGTGTCTTATCTTACAGAGAGATGCTACGAGATCCAGAAATGAGAAATAAGTTAATTTCTAACCCAACTAATTTTAACCACATAGCACACATGGGTCCGGGAGATGGAATACAGATCCTAAAAGACCTGCCCATGGTAAGAGAAAAGAGAGTGAATGTGCACATCAGTGGGGTTGAGGTTAAGGGGGGGCAGGGGAGAATATGTGTGTACGTAAATATTTATGTGTTTAAATATATACATAGATAAGATTTATTGGTATAATGAGGCAAGGGTTATGTCAGTTTATCACAATATGTGTACGATGCATGATGACATACTTGATGAAAAAAACATAAAATTTAGACATCTATCAAAAACCAAACATACCAAGTTCTTATTTAGTTACATACTCTATAAACGTCTCTCATCCATGGATTTACTACTGTTGGTAGAAGAAACTGCCAGATCTGGAGAGGATCTCTCCCAAGATTCAGAACTTGGTTACCAAATTACTAAAATTTCACTAAGACTTAGCAGTTCAGTAGGTATTTGGCCCTTTTTTCCTCCCAGAAAACCACAGTGGCTTGGTCATTAATGGTCACACCTCTCATCTGATTGTGAAGTTAAATATTTTTCCTTCACCCAGTTATAAACATGCTGCCTGGTCAGTCTTACAGAAAAAAGTACAACATAGGAAAACTGTTGTTTGTTAACAAAGTGAAGATTTGATTCTTGAATCTATTATTTTGAGATTAAGAATATTAGTGAAATTAACTAATTATTCCAGGCTCTGCTTATTCTTAACATTTTAGTATCATAGTACTCTCAACAAAGTATTGAAACTTTAATATGACCCTTTTGATCTGTTATAGTAGCGTCTAGATTTTGCACAGAATTTCACACATGATTTATAAACTATGGCTATTTGGGAGATGATTTATGACTCTTGACCAGAAGCTCTTTCTAAGGAAGTCTGTCTTCTAAAGATTGTATTTTTCCCTTTTTTCTCCCCAAAGCCACCCCAGTACATAGTTGTATATTTTAGTTGTGGGTCCTTCTAGTTGTGGCTTGTGGGACACCGCCCCAGCGTGGCCTGACAAGCGGTGACATGTCCGCGCCCAGGATTCGAACCGGCGAAACCCTGGGCCACAGAAGTGGAGCACACAAGCTTAACCACTCGGCCACAGGGCCAGCCCCAGGAAGTCTGTCTTAATTACCCATATTACTACCTCTACTGTGATAGAAGATGGGAACATCTGTCACAGACAGAAAAAATGATAGATAATATGGTTTGATGTGCAGTTAAGCTTTTAAAAGTAGTATTTATTTCATGGGAGGAACAAAAAGCCTGGATTTATTTGAGTCTGAGTTCCCCGTTGAACTATCCCAGTTAAGCAGTTGGCCTGTGTGTGAGTGAAGGTGAGGTTCTCATGCATCGTTGTTTCATCATCATCCGGATGTTGTTATTGTGCGCTTGTAGTACTTCTCATTCCTTGGAGGAGTTCGGATCACTCACAGGAGTCATTTACCCTTTTGGAATGGGGATTATTATTAGCTGTATTGGGTAAATCTAAAGAAAGTGTGCAAAAAACATTACAACTAATATTGATATAGTAGTTAAAACTAAGTCAAAACTTTAAGGCTGAACATGTTAAATATTAAACTGTGGTACTTATCTATCACATTTAAAAGTTATACTACTTTTTTGGCTTTTGCCTGGGAATGAGATTTCAAATTTTTCTCCCTTCTTTCCCATTCTGAACGTTTGCTTAATGTCCTCAGTCTGGTTTCCCTTTATTCTTAGGAATAAACGTAACATGACTGTACAGTCCCAAGCCTCTGTCGTTTTTCTTCTTTGGAGTTAGAATGTCAGGTTCAGAGCACCTTAGGAGAGAGAATTTTTTAATTATGATAAACATTTCAACTGTTTATTTTTTATATGTTTAAATATTTATAGCTTATATTTGATAGATCAAGTGTTATGTACTATTTTAATGAAACTTTTTGAAATTTAGTTAGTAAATAGTTTTTCAACACCTGATGTGTAGTTAGCATTGTGGAGGAATAGGGAGATACAAATTTCAAACACATACATATGTTGCAAAACAACACATCAGCAAATACAAAATTTCTTCAATAGTTAACGACGTTTTAGTAGGTATTATCCTTTTAAAATTATAATTTCTTTCACTTTTGCTTCATTTTGGTGCACAAAAAAATACATGGCTTTCATCATATATTCTAACAACATAGCAAGAAGAAGCATAGAAAATTTTTCTATAAATTCTATTGTATCCCACACATTACAGTATTTTTCTTAAGGTGAAGTAGTTTCAAGATTTAATAAAAAGACTCCTCTGTTTGGTATTCTGCCATCAGGTGAAAATCAATTTGCTTGTGCTCCAGAATCCTTTCAGACCTTCCTGCACAGGAAGACTCGGTCTTCCTGCAGTACCCTGAATAGGCACGTGAAGCAAATGTCAAACTGCAAACGTCGTAAGAACTTTGACATCAAAGCACCCCTCCTCACTCCACCTTTCTCCCCTCACCTCCCTCCGCTTACAGTAAAAGAAAACTCTGTTTTATGGTTTTGCTCAAAATAAGGTCTAGTCTTTGTTACTGAGCAAAACAAGTTCAGATAGCATTTCCCAAAGATTCATCCCCCTCTTGACCCCATGACCCATGGCCTTCTGTGCCGGCTACTTATTCCCATTAGACCTCCTGATTTTCAGTTTTTGTTGTCACTGACTTTTTTAACCCGTGACCACCTTGTTGGTTCTTTGTGTCAGCACAAGTGACTTTTTGCCCAGTAATGCAATGCAGTTTTTAATGTTCCCTCCATTCCTTTCATGTTTTATCATGTAAGCACTTTTGTATTTTCAGGACAAGAAGTTGGTGTACATTTTTGAAACCTGTTTCGTCACCTGTCCATGTAGTATTCCGTCAAAGATGCTGTGTGTCTGAATTCCTGTTCTTCACAGCCTTACTTTATCTTCACCTGACTTTCTTCCTTTCACAAGCAAAGGATATACATGCTGGGGCTTTTCATAGGCATCCATTTAATCACCTAACAAACATTTCTCGATCTATTGTCTGCCCAGAACCGTGCTTATCTTGGGGTAGACACTGGTAAACAATACAATAATATGCATGCCTGAAAAAGAAACAGTAATATGCATGTGTATATCTGTGTGTATATATATTTATTGAGAAGCTTGAGATATTTTAATATGTCCTCAGATTTTAATATGTTCTTTCCACCAAAACGGAATTATCTATGTTTAGTGAACTATTTCCAAAAATTAAGATGAATTAAATTCATCCAATGTTAACGTGTATAAGAAGAGCTTTTAAATACCAATGCTACGTGTTGTTACCCGTGCAAAGAGCATGTACCCCAGACATTTTATGTTTTAACTTATTCAAATCAATATTGCTTTCCTGTGAATTACTTATAAACTTAACAGAGTTTATTGGATGTCTTTAGAAGCTTAATTGTGTTTCCTTTCTACCAAAATGATGGTGAACTAGGGTGGTTTGCCTCATGAAGATGAAAGAGATAGTAAGGGAGTCGTTGTTTTCCCTTTCATCTTCTATATCCAATGTGAACCTCTCGTGTGTGTTTTAGTGAGCCGAGAGAATGTAAGCAATTAATATAAAGCAGCAAGTATGTCTTCAGAGTACACACTGTGTTCGTTTTCTTTCAATAGTTTTTTGTCATTTACGTTTTTTCACAGTGGATGCTGGTAATAAAGGGCAGATTTTTCTCCAGTTGAATGCAAGATAATATTTTACCTCCAGAAGATTTACTTTTAGCACGTAACATTTCTCCTAGCCTTTACCCGTTCCTAAAATTGTTAATTAAGATAAAATTTCTGGCTCAATGACCTCTTGGAGCTTTAAGTAGTAATTTTGCTTCTTAAGGTCAAAGTGACATTTACATCAGTCGTTTTTTTCTCTTTTTGGAAATAGCCTTAGAAAGTACTGATTTTACTCACATCTCTAAATTTAAAACAATATCTTACACAGGAGCCTTTCTTTTAAGACTACGTAATTTACCAGATATTTGTTTAACAAAGCAAGCTCATCTCAACTCATGAGAACATAAATTCAGTCAGCCTTCTCTCCAGCAAGTCATTCAACCCCTGCCCCTAATAAGAGGATGGCAGAATGTTATCTGGAAACGTAGTTGTTCTTCAAGAACTGAACCTTGAAAATTCCCAATAGAGAAAGTGACTGGGTACTGAGTGACAGTTCCCAAATATTCAGAAGTTGTTTTATCAGAAAAACTGAGATTCCTTGGCTTCAACTCTTTTTTCTGTATGTTTAGTATTACATAATTTCATTTTTTTTAGTATACCTGAACATTGAAGGGAAATTTTTCCCTTGGTAAAAACAAATGTGTTCTTTTAGAGGACCGGCCTGGTGGCACAATGGTTAATTTCACATGCTACACTTTGGCAGCCTGGGGTTCATGGGTTCAGATCCTGAGGGCGGACCTCCACACTGGTCACCAATCCATGCTGTGGTGGCATTCCACATACAAAATAGAGTAAGATTGGCACGGATGTTAGCTCAGGGCCAATATTCCTCACCAAAAAGAAAAAACAACAAAAAAGATGTGTTCTTTTGGGTATCTGAATGGAGATAAGGTTGGGCTGCTTACAGGTAAACCAATAATTAGTATATTCCACAGTTATCACTATTTTTGTTATAGGAAAATAAGATCCCTAAAAGCGAACACATACCACAGGTCTACCAATACCAGGAAATGGTTTTAGGTTTCTAAAGAAGTTTTATAACACTTCTAATGAGAGGCTGGTTGTGGGTTCACTTGTTTTCTTTAACTATTTCTTGCTTTTTTTCTATCTTCCATTTTTTTTAGTAGATTTTTGCCATGTTTGATTCTATCACATAAGATAATACTAAACTAAACTCTGGAAGTCTCCTTGCATCTCTGAAAGTCCAGTTTCTACTCACTTGACAAGAGTAATAGAATAACTTTATAAAGTGAATGATCTTTTGCAAATCAGCTGTTTAAGTAACTGGCGAGAGGATTATGGAATTGAACTTTCTGAGGCCTGCAAGTATTTCATGAAGGATTCAGTTCTGATGTGAGATACTTGTGTGCTTTTTTCTACTCGCATGTTGTCTGAAATGTCACATATAACTAGCAAATCCATTTTCATTACCTTTGTTCTTCTTCCTGTTGTTTTGCTAGCCAGGTTTCCCTTATCCATCCCCTCATCATCACTCCGGTCTGATCTCCTCCCCGATCAACTTTGAGCACATCTATCACATGACTGTTAATTCTGCCGAAAAGTTTCTCTCTCCTGACTCCATAAACCCTGAGTGCTCCCCGTCTCTGTGCTCTGTCCCCGGTACACCGAGCTTTATGACTCTGCGGGTACGGATAGCTGAGTCAGTGTTAACTTGTACTAACCACGTGCGGGCCCCTGCCTGGCTTCATGAGTAACACTGCTGAGGGCTCACCCAGGGCCGTCCTCCTTGGCCTCTCTCTCTTTCGCCAGACTTCTCTTCCTGCTCTTCCTCTTCCTCCTCCTCTTTCTTCCAGTTCTGTTGTGTTTCTTCTTTTGAGGAAAAAGATGAGGACTGGGAGGATTTCAGTTTTGTTTTTGAAATAGTATTGCAAGTTTTTCTCTGTTTAGATTATTTTCCCATCGTGATGTTTTTCATTACAGATATCCTCATAAGAAATAGCCCCTGAATGGGTCTTTATTCTGTTAAAACAAACAAAAAAGGGATCCCAGAATTTCTGAAATTTTTACGGTTCATTACCCTAGAACCAGTTAAGTTCAGAGAAATGTTTTGTATTTAGTGGAATTAAATACAGTCAAGTCTGTCGTGAGACCAAACCATGGGCCTTCTGTCTATGACGAACTCCTTCTTGAAAAGCTTAAAAATCTTCGAAGTAAAAAGTGTAACAGTGTTAATGAGTAACAGCGAAAATTGCAAAAAGAAGATAGTCTTCGTAATCCTTGAGTTGCTGATAGGCCTTTAATTCCAGCCAGGATCCAAGATAGGAAAACTAGATCAAAGAGAAAAACACACAGCTTGCTGCATTCTGAAGGACCGTGGCACTGCTGTGAGTCCCTTCCTTTCTGCCATCAATCTTTGTTACCAGGGGCTTTGCAGCGGGATGGAAAGCTGGTGGCCATTAAGCTGAATGTCCACACTTCCATCAAAAGACGTATGCTGACACTAATAAGGGAGCATTTTCTTAAGTTTTGAAGATAATAAAATATTTGGATTGTATCACGCATACCCATTTTCTATAGTGACTTCTGACTTAGAAAAATAGTCATATCAATTTTTTATTTGTATATATAGTAATTTTCCAATAAGAAAACTAACTGTAGGATGAGAAGTTTGTTTTTGTATTTTTGTTTGTATTCTAAAATTATTCTAAATTATAATGTTTTTAGTGCCATTGGCATTGGCATTAAACTGTAATGTCATTTAAACGTCTTATTTGACAAAATAAGGTGAACTGTGATGAAATGAGCCTGTTTGCTTGGTAACAGATTGCAGGGAGTGTATTCCAGAGGGATGTTGTATAAATTAATCAGTCGAGAATTTTTTCATATAAAAGATGGTGGAAATGTTCTTAAGTTAGTCATCTATAAATAGAAACACTGCTGTCAGTGGGAGTTTCACCCTAATCTTGAGCATATTTGTCCATGAGAAGGACCAGAAGCTTCAGATTCCTATCACTTTATAATGAAGTTGAACTTCAGCTGAATGTACGATGAACTGTTAGAAACACATCTTCTGTGCATCATCCTTTCATTACTTCATCAGTCAGTGTTGCTAAACTGCTGGTATCTTTTAATAGACTTAATTTTTGCCATTTATTCTAAGGTAGGTTTGTTTTATAGAAAAGGACACCACCAAGGTATCTGAAGGGTTGTAGCAAAAACAGTAAAAATTTAAAGGTTGAAACTGATATTCCCATCTCTTTTGAGCTTTCCTTTGCTGCATTGTGGCCATGCTGCTGGCGTCTTAGAGGGTTGCTGCTGTGTGCGCAAATGCTGAAATGCTAGCACTGACTGTTTCTGTTTTAAGTTTTTTATTTTCTTAGAGAAAAGAGGGTAAAGCATTTGCTTTAAACAAATAACACACTAAGAATTACATGGACTTTGCAAATTTGATATGTGAACCAAAATGGTGGTAGTTGAATTTGGGGCCAGCCAACCAGCCTGCTTTCAGTAGGTGTGATTCTTCAGAATGTGTGATTTGGGGTTTTCCAGCATTCCTAGTGTGTATTTCCTGATTGCTCAGTTTGGCCCGGCATTAGTTGTTTTGCTACAACCTCTCCTCTGGTGGCGGCCCTTCTGGTCTGAAAAGGCTGGGGCCGTCAAGGAGGCCAAGTGCTCTCTGTTGTCCTCACACCAGCTCTAGGTGTGCGTGGCTTCCACACACTCCAGCCCCGTTCCTCCCTTGGACACCAAAACCATTCCATAATTAGATGGGAAGCTACTCAAGCCAAGAGGCCCAAGTTAAGTCGCTCCACCCAGGCCGTGAATGTTGCTCTCAGTGCCCATCTGTCTCTGTGGCAGCAGGGAGGCCTGGCGACTGGGGATGGGAACGTGCAATTGGCACGTTCAGTATCATGCCCGTAAAACATTCACTTGAGAAGAATGTAATTTTAATTGACTTTCCTCCAAATGGGCTTATTCAATTACTGAGTTATCCTGAGCAAATAAAACTCTCATACATAGAAAGCTTTGTTTCAGTTATCTGCAAATGTCCATGTAATTCTAAACTTCACTGTCACTTCTAACTGGGTAACCATTACTTACTGTTCTCACGAGGAAAAACTGCTTACTTGTTGATAAGTATTTGAATAAGCGTAAGGATAAACACTTAGCCTGGCTTGGGGTGAGGTTTGCTTCTGTTTAGGGCTTTAAAAAGCACTTTTGTGGGTAGGAGGGGTTAGATAATCTGTTCCTTGTTCTGTATCACTCTGGTGAAGATAGTTTTATTTCTTGAAATTATAATAAAGACGAGAACTGTCTGCAGGAAATCAGCTTCTCTCTGACCGAAGAATTTTCCTTTCTCTCTTGTTTTTAGAACCCTCGGCCTCAGGAAAGTCGGACAGTATTCAGTGGCTCAGTCAGTATTCCATCTATCACCAAATCCCGCCCTGAACCAGGTCGCTCCATGAGCGCCAGCAGTGGCCTGTCAGCAAGTAAGTGGCCCTGCCTGCAGGAAGGTGCTGGCCCCATGTCCTGTGGGCTCACGTGTTCTCCCTGACCCACTCGGGTGCCCCCGTGCATTAGCAGTGGCTCCAGTGTCTCAGCCCTCTGGGTGCCCGGTGAGCCCAGTGCAGCTGTCACAAACATAGTCATGGAGTCCTTTCAGAGCTCACAGCCCATCTGGGGGACAGACAGACAAATAATGCTACAAACTGTGGTCAGAGATGCCCTGAAGGAAAGGCAGGAGGCAGTGATAGGGGACAGCAGGGGAAGCTGGTGTGAGTTCACACCGGGGTGAATTCATGCTGAGGAAACTCCGTGCCCTCCCTAGGGGTGGAGTCTTGTTTGAGTCAGGTTTGCTACTTGAAGGAAGGCCAGTGTGGCTACCTGGTAGTGGTCAGGGAGTCACGGAAAGTAAAGCACAAGAGGTAGGCAAGGTCAGATCAAGCAGGGACCCAAAGACCAAGGTAAGACATCTTTTATTTTATTAAAAATGCAGTGGGGGCTGGCCTGGTGGCATAGTGGTTAAGTTCGCACACTCTGCTTTGGCAGCCCAGGGTTCGCAGGTCCAGATCCTGAGTGCAGACCTATATACTGCTCACCAAGCCATGTTGTGGTAGCATCCCACATACAAAAAATAGAGGAAGATTGGCACAGATGTTAGCTCAGCGACAATCTTCCTCATCAAAAAAGAAAAGAAAAGGCAACGGGAAGCCTCTGAGGAGTTTTAAGTAGGGAAGGACTTTTATCCATTTACATTCTTTTTTTTAAGATTGGCCCCTGAGCTAACATCTGTTGCCAATCTTTTTTCTTCTTCTTCTTCTCCCCAAAGCCCCTCAGTACATAGTTGTATAATCTAGTTGTATGTCCTAGTTCTACCATGTGTGACGCCACCCCAGCATGGCTTGATGAGCAGTGTGTAGGGTCCGTGCCCAGAATCCGAACCAGCGAAACCCTGGGCCACCGAAGCAGAGCACACGAACTTAACCCCTTGGCCACAGGGCCAGCCTCTGTATCAATTTACATTCTTAAAAAGATCCCTCCAGCTGCCAAATGGAGAATGGATTAGAGGTGGGCAAGCATGGAAGTGAGCATCCTGGTGGGAGGCATAAAGTGGGAGCTGGAAGCTGATGGGGCCTGGGGAGCTGCAGAACACGGAGAGAAGCAGATAATCTCCAGGTATGTTTTCGGAAGCAGAAGCAAGAAGACTTGCTGATGAATTAGTTGTGGGGAAGGTACGGGAGAGGGAAGAGTTAAGGTGACGCCTGGGTCTCCTGCTGGTTTCCCACCAGAGCAGTGAATGAGAGTGCTCACAGCCATTCACCCAGGTTTGAGAGGTCGTCCCGCACATGTACAAAGGTCCCAACGTAGGGAAAACGTTAGCATGTTCGATTAACTGAAAGAGGGCCAGGAACAGGTTCAAGAATACGCCCTTTTGCCACAAAGCAAGATAACGTTCATCATTCATCCAGTGAACATTTCTGAGGACCCGTCAGGTATCAGCTCTTCTGCCGAGGCGCAGGGGTGCGGCCGTACATACCCGAGCACCTGCCTTCAGACAGCTCGCAGTCTGTATTAGCTTCTCTTTTTTCTACCCTGAACTGCAGCACGTCTTTTCTATCCTTCTGCATGGAAGCCTGAGCTAAGGGGCCCTAGAGAGCAAACTGCCCTGTGGTGGACTTATGTCCTGCTGCTGCCCAGGAATAGCTTTTCAGTGGGGACGAAGAGGAGGGAAGGCGTGTCACAAGATACTGTTTACCTGAATAAAAGTACCCAGGATGCTAACAGCTGCTTACTGCAGAATGAGAGGAATGTACGGATGGGATATTTGGCTGATAAATGGAATTAAAGTTTGCTCTCACTGAATCCACTGAGCTCTTTGCTAGCTCCTGCAGTAGGAGCAGCGAGGCAGGTCGTCAGACGGTCATTGCAGCTTCTGATTTGGGGAGACTGTTCTTGGCCAAGGGCTGCTTGCCTGTCACTTTCTCAAAAGTTGCCTGGCGTTGCCCTGGAGACCCGAGGGCATGTAGCCAGAGTGTGCCACATCAGTGCGGCCCCGACATGTGCCAGTCATGACTAATGGAACCTCTCTCCCCTTCCTCACCACTGAGTTCTGAGAGAAACGATTGCCCTGGATCCAGTTCACAGTTAAAAGTTGTTCAGTGAAAACACGTATCTGTTGCTCGTATTTTTGAGCATTCGCTGTTGGAGTCGAAGCGTCCTGGTGCAGATTGAGTGTCTCCTGCACCTGTGCTCACTCAGCAGCGTGCTGTGAGCCCCTGCCTTGCACCCAGCTATTGTTCTCAGGCCCTGGCAGCACAGAGCTGAGTCGTGCTGTGCTAGTTATCTTTTGCTGTAGAACAAATTACCCCAAAACTGAGAAGCTTCAAACAGCAAGCATTTATTATCTCTGGGAGTGGCTTAGCTGGTGGGTCTGGATCAGAGTCTCTCTGGAGGTTGCCGTCAAGCCGACTGCGAGGGCCGCCGTCAGCTGAAGGCTCGACTGTGGCCACAGCATCCGCTTCCTGGCTCGCTGACGGGGTGGTTGGTAGGCCTCTGTTCCTTGCTGACTGCTGTGTTGGTGGGAGGCCCCCATTCGTCACCAGTATGGGCCTGTCCGTACATCGCCTGAGTCCTCGTGACGTGGCGCTGGCACCCCGTAGAGCAGGTGACCCGAGAGACAGACACGAAGGCAGCAGTCTTTATAACCTGGCCTCAGAAGCAGCGCAGCATCGCCTCTGCAGTGTGCTGTGAAGCCCAGACCACCGGCCCGGCGGGGAGGGGACTCCCCCGGGCGTGAGTACCGGGAAGAGGTGCCTGCTGCAGACCCACAGAACAGGCTTCCAGGAGTTTCCAGTCAACGAGCAGGAGTCGAAGGGCACAACTGGCGTCTTTCTTACCGTTATCTCCTAAAATCATCTCTAACCAGTGTGTAGCCCTGACCACAATGAAAAACTCTAGCCAATTGGAAAAATGACAAACATTTTATCTTTTTATTAAAGGTGGCTAGATAAAATAGTGTATTTAAATTATAACTAACCATAAGTTATCAAGATGTGAGATGCAAAGAAAGCATCACAAGATTAATAGTTATGTCCGTGGTCCCTTAGGCAGAACCCTGGGCGCCAGGTGGTGTTTTTGTTTGTTTGTTTGTTTTCACAATTCAGATTTTCCTTTTTATAGTTTAGAAAGGAATCTACCGTATGTTATGTTGCATTCCCAGCGAAATGTGGGACAACACCCACAAACATATTAACATTTTCACAGCAAAATTTATGACTAGTCACACTATAAACATATAAATAAATGTAGTCTTTGAAAATAAAGTCTATCATCAGCTTCTAGTCAGTTCGGATCGGGTTTGCTACCATATGAGTTTATGCCAAACTTAATGAAAAAACATTTGATTTTCAGGGCTTTTGAATTTGTGGAATTGCAGCATAATACAGAGATTTAAAGGGCCGAGTCGGCCATCTCCTTAGGAGTGCTGAGGCGCAGGTCCCCATCACTGTTACAGCATGCACGCTGCACACTGGGGCCAGCCCCAGATTCCTGTCAAAGCCTTTAACACAGCGATCAGCTTTGGCCTTCTTGAGATTCTTGGTTGCAAGCTGTTTGTACAGAGGTGCGAGGAATTCCAAGGGGCATCTGCTATTTATAGAGTGCCTCCTACTGGCTTCGGGAATAGCCAGATCCTGGAAAAGGTTTCCAGAAGGACAGCCAGCCGAGAGAGAGACAAGAAGAAACAGGGGACCATATTGTCAGTCTCCACACCCAGAAGCACAGGATCTTCCGAAGCCAGACTCACGATGGCTTCATGACGTGAAGTCAAGTTCCTTCCACCTCAGTCCATAAGCAGAGCAGCAGAAGTCTCTGGCGGTTTGGGTTTTCTACTCAGAATGACAAATTAAAAAATAATAACTTACACTACAGTTTTGGTAAACCGAATGCTAAAGTAGGCATGGAATTGGAAGAGAAACCATGAAAAAGGACTTATGCCTTCAAGCAGGTTGTGATTGAAGGAGACAGAAGATCCACACCAAAAATATATATGTATATGTCCAAGAAACATAGCAACAAAATCAGAACATGTCTAGGGACGGACATCTCTGGAAACTGGCTGGAGTGCTGAGAGGGAACAGATCCCCTAGGCAGGAAGATTAAGTCAGTGGTTTTCAACCCGAGATGCCTTCTAGAATCATCAGAAGTGCTTTTAAAAGTTAAATCAGAAATTCTGCTGTCATTGGTCTGAGATGGGGCTCAGGCCTTGATATTTTTAAAGCTCCATAATATAACGAACAGTATCTGATCAGTGTTGGAACCTCCGCCATAAGCAAATGACAGTGGCCAGGAAATGCGGCCGGGGCTGGGACTGCAGCCAAGCCTCACAGGAGGCCGCCTGGAGCCACCACGGCCGGGCCTCCACAGGCGGCCTCGATGCTGCCTGCTTGGGAACGTGCTGTGTTTGGTGGTCAGCAGGCACAAATGCTCCACACAGTCATCTTCTGACATTTTCCTTGAATTCTTAGTGGAAAAAAACTAAATTGGGATTTGTTAAACCAGCAAAAAGTTGAAACAACCACGATCTGTATCTTATAGTTGTACTAAAACCTCAATACAGTCTTTTTTGAGCAGTTAATATTGAAGCTCAGCAAGATTAAAACATTTTTTAAGCAAAAATTAAATACTAGAGAATGCAGAGAGCTTTGAATAGGTACTAACAGTACCCCACTGTTTCCAAGGTTTTTTGGTCGTTTTTCTGCCTCTCGGTGCTGCTGGCCCCCCTTTTATGTACCCAACTCTCAGACCAGAGTGTGATTTTAAAGAAACTCCCTCATTTTTGCATCTCAGGCTTTGCCCTGTGTAATGAAAATGCTTCTCTCGCGTTTGTTCTTTTATGAAAGTTCCCAGCAGCTGAGTGGTGCTTGTGCGTCAGGTGGAATGGTCTCGGGTTCTGGGAGCTGTTCTCTGCTTTGTCAGCCAGCGCATGTGTTTTGAGCACCTGCTGTGTGCCAGGTCCTGTGCTGGGCCCTGGACAGGCAACGACCATGCATTAGGAGAACGGGAGGCTCATAACTTGATATGATACTGTAAATGCTATGAAGGAGATGGGGAAAGACGCGCTAGGGGCTCCAGGAGGGGAAGGACGCAGTCAGGCAGCACGTAGGTGGAGACTTGAACGACTGGTTCTCTGGGAATCGGAGGGAGATGGCAGTCCAGGCTCGAGCAGGGAGTGGACAGGCAGGCGGCCCTGAGAGTGCTGCCCGCTCACTGGGCGGCCAAGCCCCACAGCTGGACTCACTGTCTGTCATTGAAGGACTCCACACTGGGGAGGATCACCTGGGTGGTGGGAAGACCACTGCGGTCATCTCGGCAGTCTGTACACCTAAAGGCTCACCTCCTTCTACACGTATAAAGTTTCACCTGAATGCTGTACTGTAGGGTCATCTGCACAGAATGGCAGTGCGTTAAAGAGAGAATTCTCTGGAGGAAGCTACAGTGCGAAGCGGCAGCCCATGCCCTCCCCATCAGAGGGCTCGCTGTCTTCCGGAGGCATGGACCAAGGAAGTGATGCCCCAGCGAGGGACTTTGATGGAGAGGTGAGTGGAGCGGGTGTGGCAGCAGCGTCTGGAGGCGGGCTGTGGAGAAATGCTGTATCAAGAAGTCTAGTGCCTTTACCGAAGTGATCTGTCTACCTCGGGAGCGGCCTCGGCTGCAGCAGGAGTTCCGTACCCTCTTGGCCAGGGATGGCACAGCCAGGCTCTTGGGTTGCAAACCACGATTTCCCTGGAGGTGTTCAGACTTCTAATAGCTTTTATGTGAAAATGACCTGCGTTTCTAAAGGCCTGCAGAAAGGACTGTGAGCATTTGTTATATTCCGTGCCTCGGATTCAGCTCAGAAAAGGGGCTTTGTGCTGACAACAGAAAGGGCACATCACGTCAGATCAGGGTGGTGGGCGGGGCCCCATGGTGACCTGAGCCCCTCCCGCCCTCTGCTTCTCACTGACATCTTCCTTTGGGCCTTACAGGACTCTGATTCTCCCAGGCATTCCACAGCTTCCAACAGTTCCAACCTGAGCAGCCCACCCAGCCCCGTGTCGCCCCGGAAGACCAAGAGCCTGTCTCTGGAGAGCACTGACCGCGGGGGCTGGGAGCCCTGAGCCGCGGGGCGCAGACCACAGACGGCAGCCCCACCCGCCTCCTCTCCCTTTCTTCTCCTCTCCACCTCTGCCTGGACACGCCCCAGGCTGGCCGCAGTGGCAGGGTGGGGATGGAGGAATCCTGACCACAGGACTCGCAGATCCACGCCCCCCTCCACTCAACAGCAGCCCTAAAGGCAGCCTTTCATCGAGCAGCTTAGATTGATGCTGATCTCATTTCATACACTTAGAGTTGCTTTCCATGATATTTTACCCCTCCCCCAAAGGTAGCTTCAGTAGACAGATTACACAAATGTAAGCGATAGGAATAAGATTAGACAGCGTCGTTCTCACAGTAGTCTCGTTAGCCCCGAGGTGGCACAGGGGTCTTGGGCCGGCCTGCAGCGGCCGCCCTGCACGCTCAGCACCCACGCCCGTGTTGACCGATCAGTGCCAGGAAATCCTTATTAGTGAAAACAATGCATATTTTACTACAATACAGAGTTTAAATAAATACACAAATGTAGAGGTTAAATACTGAATGTACATAGTAAAAAGAAGCATCTTGTATTCAACGAAAGATGGATGCATATATAAGAGAGAGATCATTTAATTTAAAGAAATGTGTTGTTCCTTGTCTGCTTTCCAGCTGAGTAATCTAAAAGTAATCTAAAAGGCAGAAAGGCCTCCAGCTGAAGGGGGTCGAGGGAGAGCTCAGAGCCCTTAGTGCCCTGTCTCGAGTCCCTGTCACCTGGAGCTTTAGGAGGCGTCCCGGGACTGTGGCGTCACTGGTTTGGAGTAGACCCAGCACCAGACTTCGGACATTTGAATCCTCTTCAGCAGCAGCATCGAAAGGCAGATTTACTTCCATCCAAGACGTTTCTTTTTCTAGTAGTTGAATTTCAACCACATTTCTCATTTTTTGTTATTTTTTGGTATCTTCCGTGGATGAATATAGAAATGCAATTTTGTCACCTTCTGATCCCTTCCCTCTGAAAGAACACAAGGAACGTCTTGGCTTCTGAAAGGCCATACAAAGGGTCATGCTTTTCTCCTGGTCTGGTCCCCCCCCCCCCCCCCCCCCCCCCCCCCCCAGGGAGGTGTCTGTCCCCCAGCCCAGCCGGCTTCTCACAGAGGGGTCTTGTGAGGGTGGCCTCAGCTTCCTCCAAGAAGCCTGGGAAGAAGGGTTTAGTTACCAAATAATAGAAGAGCTCAAATGCAAGGACTTGAACAGCCTTGATCAAGTATTCCTGCCCAAACCCGGAGAAAATTGGACGTGTTCAGCCCCAGTGCGCAGGCGCAGGCAGGAAGTGGCCCCATGTAAGCTCGTCCTCTCCCAGTGGCTGCACCGTGTTGTGAGGTGCATTTCCACTTGAATCCCTGCTGTGTTAATTACCACAAGGAAATGAGATGCAGAACCCAAAGAACCTTATTTCTCCAGTCATTTCTCCAGTTAAGCACATGAGCAGAGAGAGAGGTAGAAATAAAAATATCTCGTGGAAGTAAAGAGAGCCTCTCTTTTACTTTTTATCTAAATTTCTCTGAGAAATAGGATTTTCTGCTGTCTTCTTTCAAACTCAGCTAAAATGGAAGAGTTTTCCTGCAGCTCCTAATCGGGATGGCAGGGGCCGGGCCACCATCTCGCCCGACTTCACGCCTTCGCCTCGGAGCGGCTGTGCCAGCCCGTGCGCGGGGCACGGAGACTGTTAGTAGGCTGCTGCTCTGTGGAGAAGGCTCCTGAGGTCCGGGAGGAGAGAAGGGATCCCATGTGGGGATTATGTTGCCCAAGGTGACGCAGAGGTGGTGAGATGGTGACCACGCTGACGTCCGAGCAGCCTGGGCTCCGTGCGCACTTGGTCTGTGCTTTACTTTGGATGGCGTCATTCACCGCACAGTTCCATCTCCTCCTTCTTTTTGCTTTTGGAAAAGAAATGTCACGTAACAGTACTTGTGTACGTCCAGATACCAAGGGCCAGCCCTTGAGTTTGGTTATTGCCATGTGACCCTGGCAGCTCCTTGAACTTGGCCCTCCGGGGAGAGGAGGGAACCGGCCAGGGCTGAGCGCCTGTGGCCAGTTGCCCCCTCTCCTCCTGACCCTGCCTCCCCACCTCCCCCACCCTCCCCAGGCCACATTCACAGGATGGCAGTTTATAGCTTTGACAACTAAGTGTGAATTTTTGTTGCCTGTAGGTGCTTATTTTTTTTAAAGGATGCTTTTAGGATCAAAATATAACCCTACCTGAAGTCTGGACTCCACTGGAATGAGTCACACCCTACAGCCTCCCAACAGGGCACTTGAGGGGGCTCCTGAGGGCTCGTCCTGCCCGCTCCCTGGGCGGCGTGTTCATGTGAGCCCAGTGGACAGCCCCGCGGCACTTTGCGGTTTTTCCACAGCAATCTTAAGTGATCTTGTCAGGCATAGAGCAGCCCCAAATGTGGTTAGATTCTAACAGCAGGACTGTGGGGGAGACCCACTGCCAGGAGGGAATAGTTTAGGGGGACTGTCTCAGGACAATAATCGTCCCCCCGGGCTTGTCTGCACTCTGAAATAGAATCCCTTCTGAAGCTTCCGAGAAGAAGGGCTTGAAAAGATGGGGAATGGGTTTCAGGGCAACAGAAAACATAGTGATCATTCAGGGATCAGCAACAAAGGCCACGGAAAAGGTTCTATTGCTGTCTCAAGTCACCCTTTGTTTCCGGGCAGGACATCTGAGAAATGTAGATGGCAGCAAGAACTCATTTCTCTTCTCAGGAGAAAGGAAGAATTACCGGAGAGGCATTTCTGGCACAGCCCGTAGGTGTTGGTACTTGGTGCTATCTGTGTCCAGCCAGTTTGCTGTCTACCCCTGAACTCTAATTTAATCTTGTCATGTGCTTTGGGTGTATGAAATTATATATATACAGATATATATTTCTTTTTGCCAAAAACAACAGCCTTGCTGCTTGTCAGACGGTTACTAAAGCATATTTCACTTCGAGTCGTGTGTGTTTACACGCACGCGCACACGCACCCCCACACTCAGTGATTTACGCTCTTTCCCGGGGAGCAGTTTTAGGCCACGAGATAAAGTTACAAAGGGCCCATCTGGGTAGTTTTCCGAGCAGTTCTTGTACCCAAGCTTCAGGGAAGAATCTGAAATTCCTGTTATGTTTACAGCAACCACCTGTCATTCCCCTGCTGGCTCTCGGCCTCTCTGCCTTCCTTATGGTTAGAATCGTGTCATTTTGTTGCTTAGTGGCCACGTCTGCTTCTGTGAAAGACCAGTTGCATTTCTGTGGACTCTCAGGTATTACAGAAAAGCCAGAGCAGGGGTGGGCGGACGTCCCTCAGCCCTGGGGACAGCAGGGCCCTTCGCTGGCCTCTGGCAGCCTGTGGTCTCTGGCTGAGCGGGGTCTTGTAGAGCCACCGTCCACTTCCTGGACAGAGGGCCACTCAGCAGTCAGACTGGGCCACCGCCCGACTCCACTGGGCACAACCGGGGCGTAACTGGGCACCTCCCCTCCTCTCCCCTGGCCCAGCCCCTGTTTAGCTAGGCCGCAGCCATTTCATTGAGCCCATCTTAGGACCTCTCTCCTGTTAGGACTGTCCTGATCACTCAAGCCCAGAGTTCTCTGCGGAGCCTGCTCGATCCCAGGGACCTGGGCCAGCACTGGCCGGCAGGCCGGCGCTTCCTTCCCGGGCCCGTCACACACAGAGAGCACTTCACTTATGGGGGAGTTGGATGGGAACAAATCCACCCTGAAATTTCACGGAAACAAGATGACCTGCCTTTTTATTTGATGGTGTAATATCCTTTATTTTATAAATTTTTTAGAGTTTTTTCTCATTGTAATATTATTGTACAGTTTTGCATGGCCTAGGTGTAATCATTTTTTGGTTTAGAATATAATGCTGACAACTGTGTGTGTGGAAGGGGGGAAGATGTTGCTTTGGCCTCCTGTCACTCTGACTTCATTTCGTTTGGTTTCATGCCCTCGATCTCTTGGAGAACTTTATCAGAGATTCTCTGCTACCAATGGTGTGGATTCTTTTGCACAGAAATATTTAAGGTGGGCTAGTCAAAAATGTAACAAAAGACTCCTCGCCAATATTTTATGTTGGTATCACTTAATATTAACCAGACTTTGATGTATTGCAATAAAACAGGGAACTGTTAGAGTTGAGTATTTTTTGTCTTTTTTTCCGATTTAAAGGTCTGAGGAATGGAGAAAAGGTGCCTGAGTCTTTCTGTCTTATTTGATCCTGCTTCCTGCCGGCCCCCTCCTGGCCTGGCTTCCTCCTCACACTGCAAAAGGCCATGGGGTTAGTTTAATCTAGAACTTTCTTAGTTCCTTCCATAGCTCAGGTGAGAAGAGTGTTGCATTCTCTTGAAGCTTTCCCACCCCCTCTTCTGGCCCAAACCTCCCTCGTCTTCGGTCAGTCTGAAGGCCAGGCTCCGCCTGAGGGTCGCCATGGCCCTGGCCGCCGCACTGAGGACCCCTCCCCACAGCCAGATTCCCCACCCGTCGTCACAGCTGACTGCAGACATGGGGCCACTTGGTGTTCTGTCTACTTACTGCGCAGAAGCAGTTAGTGCTTCTGCTTTTGAGTTAGAATGACACATCTAAGGCCAGGGGTGGTCTTAACAAAGGAAATCTTAAACCGGGGCTGCAGCGAAGGAAGTGTTCTGAGTGCCCTGTTTCCATCCCACGTGTAACTGGCGTTGCTGATGCCATGGTGATGTCGTCGGTTCGTGTTGGCGGAGCCAGGCGTTCGAGGCAGCAGTCGTGCAGCGGTTTAGAGCGAGTCTTGGCAAACTCTCTGTACAGGACCAGTAAATAATAAATATTTTCGGCTTTTTGGGCTATACAGTCTCTGATGGAGCTGCTCAACTCTGCCACTGCAGCACGGAGCAGCCTCAGACAAGCGTAAACGAACGAGTGCGGCTGTGTGCCAGGAACGCGGACAGGAACGGCAGGGGGACGGACTGGACCGAGGAGCACAGTTGGCCAGCCTTTAGACCAGGAGCGAGTGTGGCTGTGAGGCCAGGCTGTCTTGTTCCACCACTTACTGATCCTCGGCCAGCCACTTACCCTCGGAGCCCGTTTCCTCATCTATAAAATGCCCACTTTGAGTGTCCCGGGAGTTATTACATAAACACAGTACCTAATAGTGTAACAGTACGTAAACACAGCCTCAGAAGAGCCATGGACAAGCGGAACAGGGCCTGGCGGATGGTGCTGAGCACTAGCCCTCCAGGGCCCCAGCAGGCGGCATGGAGACCAGACCTCTCTGCCCTGCCTGGGCCCAGCGGCCGGTTGCTGGCAGTCCCAAATGGCAGGAAGTCGGTTTTCCCTCGGGGTTGAACCCCTAGAACTGGTGGGGGGGGCCTCTGGGACCGCGGCAGTCTCCCCACGTGACTCCCTGCCTCACGCCCTGTGCAAGTGTTCTGTCAGGAGGCCCCATTACCTAGGAACTTGGGGGGCCCAGCAACAGCCTCTTTCCAGGATGCCCCTTGGCTCAGCTGACCTCTCCAGTGGGTGTCACTGCGAGGCTGGCCCGGCACTAACCCCACGGCAGGTGTTACCATTGTCCCAGCTGGCTAATGTTGAAGCATCAGAGCCCCTTGGCAGCTGTGGATTCTCTGTAAGTGGCGGGGGGGGGGGGGCGCGTCCTGAGGGGCTGCCAGGCAGTTACTGGGCAGCTGTCCCCACCCTGCACCCCTCTTTCTCTGACAATGAATGTGGGCTGAGCCTTCCAGGTCCAGGCACCAAGAGCCTCAGGCTGGGAACAGGTGCAAACCTTGCAGGAGTGTCTGGAGGCAGGACAGGGTGACACGGACCTCAGGCTCATCCCCATCAGCACAGAGCCCTTGACGAGTCAAAGAATTAGTGCCACAATGCTAGGATTTCTTTTTTTAATTGAATCAAGTAAATCTGACAATTACAAGAATTGTACAAAAATAGAGCCTGTGATGAGCGCTCAAGTCTAACCAGGTGACCCCTGCACAGTCATCTTCCACGGAGGCCCCAGGCTGGGGGGAAGGCAGGCCCGCGCCACACACACCCCGTCTTCTCGCAGAGACAGCTGTGTCACTGTCTCCCTTTCCGCTGCTCCTGACCCTTCCCACAGGAGGCAGCGGTTCTCTGGAAACTTCCAGTTGTCGAGAAAGTACGGGAAGCAGCCGGATCACAGGCGTGGGCCTCCTCAGTTACAGTCTTGCCGTCTTGTCGGCACTGCTCCGACCGGCACGTCCCAGCTCGAGAGCCCCTGCTGCAGAGGAAATGGGCAGAACACAGTCTCGCTCTAGCAACACACACACACCAACCCTTACACTGCACGCTCCGGCAGATCCGAAAGGCTTCTCCGCGGCTTTTTGGGGGCAGGGATGCGCAGGGCATGCTCCTGTCGCTGGTTAACGTCCACGTGAGGAAAAAGCCCTGTTACAGAAAGGAAACGGAAACAAAGGTGCCTTTTTCTCTGGATCTAGAGTTACTGCAGAGGCTGCATGAACAACAAGCAGGTGTGGACACAGGAGCGGGGTTTCATTTTCATTTTTCTCACCCACACCCCTTAGCGATAAAAACCGTGTACAGCGCTGGCGACGGGCTCCGAGCGACGTCCCCCTCAGAGCCAGCAGCCCTCTCTCACTGGAGGAGGAGTCTACACAGAGTGTCACCACCAGCTTCCTGCCAGTCTCCACCGCGTGAGGGCAGAGCGTCCAGGGAGCAGGCCCCCTACTGCGGCCCGGCCTGCTGCCGGCAGTAGTTGCTGTAGGCCTCCTCGAACATGGCCTTACAGGGGAAGCGGGCCTTCAGCTTGGAGCAGATGAGGAAGGAGCCCCCCATCTTCCTGTGCAGGGAGTAGGTCTCCTCGGGGGGCGGGATGAGCCGGTGCTTCAGCATGATGGGGATCAGGTTGTGGATCTTCTCCGTGGTGCTCTGGGTGCCGAAGTCAAAGGGCTCCTCGGAGGCGAAGGCCTCCCCCAGGATGAGGATGGCGTCCAGGTGGGCGTCCTCCATGGCCTGGGGGGGCGGGGAGAGATCTGAGCGCTCCTCCCTCAGCCCTGGCGTGAGCGCCCCCTGAAAGCTGTTTTCAAGCTGAGGAGCGGGTCAGGTGGGCGTCTGATTTGTAACTAGATGAAATAATGGTAACTGGGGCAGAAACTCAACCGAGAGGGACCAGGAAAACAACATTCACATGTGACCTGGGCTCCACGTGGGACACTAGGGGGCGGCGGGGCCTGCGGCAGGATGCAGCGTGAGCAGCCCCCAGGCGTTCACACTCAGTCAGCCCAGAGTCCTCAGGCCAGCCCACTGCCCTGCGCAAGCGATGGCGTCAGTGACACACCTCCACGTGGCCAGAGTGAGAGGAGGCCAGCCCCGGGCTCCCCAGCGCAGCTGTCCCCAGGCCCTGCCGTTCTGAGAGCTGGGCACAGAGGCTGGGGAGGGCTGGCTTTCTGACTGCCCGAGACGGTCTGAGTTCTGTGGAGCACCCTTGGGGCGGCTGTCACCTCTGATTTCACACATTTATGAACTGAGGTTCCCCAGCCCCCTCCCAATGCACAGCGAAGTTGGCCCCGGGGACCTGGCAGCTCACCTTGACCTCGTAGCCGGTGAGGAACTTCATCTCTATGGACTTCTCCCGTACGGCCTCCCTGTCCCTGTCCGCGGCGGCCCTGATGATCTGGGCGGAGGCGGCACCGGGGGCAGCACAGACACAGCAGCTTCTGAGGGCCAGGGAGCCACACCTGCCCCTTTCCCCCAACGCCAACCCCGCACTTTTATCCTTTCCTCTCCCTCCGAGACCCCAGCCAGTGCTACGAGGCTGACGGGGCAGTGGCCTCACCCATTGTCCCCAGACACTGGGGCGGGCAGGAGCCTGGTCGTTCTCCCTCCCTCCCTACCTCCGAGCCCCCGAGCATCCCGGTCCGGCCTCAGGAGGGCGTGGCCCCTACCTGAATGTAGAGGTCAGTGAAGGACCTGTCGTATTCCCGAGTCGCCCCAAAGTCCAGAAGAGCCACCTGCAAATCGGCAAAAGCAGGGAGGTCTGCCCAGTGGGGCGGGGCGGGGCAGGGGATGGACACCCCAGATCTCGGGGCCCCAGGGCCCCCTGGGGCGCCCCGCCCAGGGGCTCACCTTGTGCTGCTGCGGGTCGTAGAAGAAGTTGGACCAGTTGGGGTCCGTCTGCATGAAGTGGAACTCGAAGAGCTCCCTCAGACACAAGACCAGGATGTTGTAACAGATCTGCGGCGGGCAGGGGCTCCGGGTCACAGCAGCGCCAGGCTGGCTGGTGACCCTGAGTCTGGGGTCATTCTCCCGCCCCCATCTTCCACCTGCCCCACTTCCTGCCCAGATGACTTTTGGTTCCAGTGTACACCCAGGGGGAGAACACAGCAGCCTTCCTGTCCCCTTCAGCCACTGGCACCAGTGCCAGCTTCATCCCCATAGGGAGCATCTCAGCTCCAAGGCCACCGTCAGACACACCTCGTTCCGGACCTCCTGGCTCAGCCCCTCCGCCTGGTCCAGGGGAAAGCCGGACACCAGCTCTGTGGTCAGCACGTGGGGGCTGCAGAGCTCGTCCACGATCTCAGGCACGTAGAAGAAGGGGTGGTCCTTCAGCAGCTCCCTGGCAGGGGTGGGAGGTCACGCTGCCCACAGATCCTCCCCACCTCAACCCCCGCCCTGGGGTGACACCCAGGGCGACGAGGAACTGAGGCCGCCAGGGGCAGGCCTGCTTCTCACTGGGCAGGATGCAGCTATGACCCCAGGCCTCGACCACAGCCATCCTCAAGGCCAGAGGAGCCTTCACCCCCGGATGGGCTGCCTAAAGCAGCCCCTTCTGCCTCCCCAGTGGGACCAACAGACCAGGGGCCAAGGTCAGCTGCCTGGCACGGAAGCCACGTGAGACATACCTGAATCTCCGTGCACAGGCAGCCTCCCGCTTGTAGTCGCACTCAAGGGCCAGCTCCCGCCTCAGCACGTCGATCAGGTGCTCGGGGAACAGGCCTGGCCAGGGAGGAGGGCATGAGGGCGGCTGGGGGCTCCTCAGGAAGGCCCCCTGGGGTCCCCAGAGTCCGTCCCAAATGCCTGCCCTTGACCAGGAGCCAGCCTCAGACCTTCCGGAAGCATGTTGCTCATGTTCAGCACGGCCATGAGATTGTTGACATCACTGTTG